GTGCGGGGGGCGGGGTGCTCAGCCCCCCGCTCCCCGGGCACCGGCCCGCCAGCGGCGCCACAGGGTCCCAGTCAGAGCCCGGCAGGAGGCCGAGTCGAGCTGGACAGCTGCCCGGTGTGAGTCCACTTTCAGGGCCGCTGGCCCCCGCAACTTCCCAGATGGCAGAGATGTCGGATTAGCGCCCCCCACAGCACCCCGAGGACACGGCGGGGAGAGGAGTACGCTGACCATCCTGCGTAGGACGCGGCGTGCGGGCTTCTCACGGAGCAGCTGCAGCTCCTGCCGGGGTTTCCAGCAGGACCCGGGGGCTGGGTGGGGGTGGGGCCGGGCTGGCGGGGCACCGGGAGAGCTGCCCGCGAGCTCCAGACAGGACCCCTCCTCACCCCGGGCCACTGGCAGAGTCGAAAGGGCATCCAACTGACAGAGGAAGAAACCCGGTTACCATGCTTGCCGGGACTGCAGACAAGAATGCGCAGTGACACGTAGCCGCAGATGCTCCCAGGCCCCACCTGTGTGGCCAGGGACCCAGACACCAGCCCGCAGCCCGCCCTGTCCCGGAGCCTGCCTGTGGGCCGCCGGCAAAGGGGGAGAAACGCCGGAGACGTCGGTTCCACACAATGGGTCCTGACTGACATCGTGGTGACGTGTGCTGGGACACGGGCCTCTTCCCAGCCGCTGTGTCCACAGACGTCGCTTAGATTCTCGGCGCCCCGCCCCAACACTTTCTCTCACCGTGACGTGCCCTGCAGGGAGCACCCAAGAGGTAGGCGCCCGAGGTGGCCCGCTGGCCTTGGGAAGTTCTGACAGACGCCTTGAGCCACATCTGGTGGCAGAGCCATGGGAAGGAGAGTTCAGCATGACCGGGCCTGCTGGCCGCCACCGTGGGAGGGCTTTTGTCAGGGCCTTGCCTAGCGGGCCAGTCTTGGGGAGACTCCTGAGATTCGGGGAGGCATCAGCACAGGGCAGGCCCGATTCAGATCCACGTTCCCCTGAGCTTCGGGGCGAACCTGCTGCTCACTTCCAACGTGAAGGTCACTGGTTACAGGGCGTCCGGGCGCTGGGAGCCGGCTCACCTGGAAGCAGAGGTGACCACTGCAGGGCGTGGAGCCGCTGGCCGGAGTGCCCGCCGTCCACATGCTGTGCCTAGCGGGGTCCACAGCAGGCTGAGCGGAGACACGTTTTTGGCTTGTGTTAGATCTAAGCTCTGTACTTGTTTTCTCTTAGGTTAAAAAGAATATTTTATGTTGTCTGGACTCTGTCCCAATATCACAGCTTTGGGAGCTGAATCCTGCCGGTGACAGCCGCACCCTGAGTCCAGCAGTGCGTCTGCTGCCGACCACACCTCCGGAGCACTGAGACTGGTCAGGGTGGTGGCCCTGCCCTGGGCCCTCAGTGCCGGGGCCTAGGCCTCTGCCACTGTGGCTCCTGGGGGAGCCCCGGCTCTAGGGAGAGGTAGCTGCTGCTCCCCCTTCCCTGAGCTCCCTCTGTGGAAGGAGGCCACCGCCCCTGAGGCTATGCCATGGCCCCGACACCCCAGGGCGGGGCCCCCTGGAGGCCATGGAGGCAGAGGAGCAGGGGACAGGTGTGCCCGCATGCGTGGGCGGGAGGGGGCCGGCGGGAAGGCAGATCTGCGTGGCAGGTAGCAGCAGTCAGTGGGATGGCCCTGGACACCCATCTTCTCATGTACGTCCCAATGTTGGCCACCTCGGGTGGGGTCACCCACCTTCACGTTTCACAGGCAGGAACAGAAGCTCAGACTGCCAGGGGCCTTGCCGCATCTGGAGCTGTGGCCGGAGGGGAGGCCGCACGGGTCCTCCGGCTGTGGGGCTTCCGCTGTCTTCAGGGGGCTCTGCACTGTGCTGCGACTGTGAGACGAGGGGACGGGGAGCTCTCAAGTGCCAAGACCACAGGGTGGCTCCCATCACTGACAGGCTGGCTGAGGTGGCATCTCGGCCAGGGCGGGTAACAGGAGGCCAGGCTGTCCTGCACACTCACGCGCCCGTCCTCTGCCCAGCCCCAGGTAACCTACCGGGGGCTCAGCCTCATGCTGTTCCTTTTGCACAAAGTTGCGGGGCCTTGTGGCGGGTGACCCTGATGCCGGCCACAGCTGACGAGCAGGGACAGTTGTGCCAAGCGCACCATCCTCATCCCCCGGCCAGCGGTCTCCGACCCATCCGTTGTGCAGATTAGCTAGACGGGCTCGGCTCCGGTGTCGGGTGGGGTGAGGTGGGCACAACCACGACCAGAGGTGCTTTGTGGGAATTCTGAGGGTGTCTGAGGCCGCCATGGTGAGTGGGGTGCACGCATGTTATTTTGTGGGTAGAGGTGGAGGGGCGTCCCTCATGAGGAAGAGCTGCCTCTGCAGGAACCCTCCCCCGCCCCTCCTCACTGGGGTGCCAGGCAGACATGCACCCTCTCAGAGCCACCCACCTGCGAGCCCGGCTCCCTCCCCACGCAGACCGCAGCGCGCTCGGTGGCTTTCACGCTCCAAGAACGTAGCCGTCCTGAAGCTGGGAGTCCGTTTTGTCTGGAGTTCCCGGGGCCATCTGGCGCTTTGGAGAGCCCTCTGCCTCTGCAGCCGTGACCTGCCCCTGCAGCTGGCCTGCGGGATCCGGGGCGGAGCCTGGTTGACAGTCCGTGAGCCCTGCGGGGACAGAGGGGACATAACTAACTAGTCAGCGCCCAATGAACACCTCCCCTCCCCGCCTCTCTGAGCAAGAGCGATTGCAAAGGGCCCTAAGTCTTCACTGACGGTGACCAACGGCCCCGGTCAAGTTTCAGGGAGGGCCGTCTGCTCCCTGTGCGGACGCGGGGAGACATCCGGGGTGGTTTGGACAGTCGCCGGGGGCGCTGCTATGGGAGGCCCAGGGACGCGGACATCCTGCAGCGCCAGGCTGTTCCGGGGAATGGAGGGCGGTCCTGCCGGCAGCACAGGGGGAGGGGAGGGGGGGCCCGGTCAGCGGCGGGGAGAGCGGACGGATGCCGAGCGACCTGGCAGCCGGTGCTCGGTGCTCGGAGGGACGAGGAGGAAGGAGGAGGAGGGATGAGGCGGAGGCGGCATCTCGTGTAAAGAAGACCTGTCTCCCGCTGTGGCGCCGTAAAGCCTGGCCTTGCAGATGCGAAGGCACCTCGAGTCCCCCAGCACAGACCCCCTGGTTCTCCGCCTCAGTCCGTGCAGCCACGCATCGGGAACATTCTGGAAGGAAGCAAGCATTTGCTCCGCGGGAATGTCCGTGGAAAGCCAACAGTTGGATTATTCTAAGTCCCAACTTCAAATACCCGTGCTCGGATCCCCCAAGTGCGCAGCGTGCGTCGGAGCAGACAGCGTGTCGACCGCCGTCCTGTGCTGCAGAACGGCGCGTGCGCGCTTTCCCAAGGGCGGGAAAGAAGGGTCGGCTGCACAGCCCCCCGCTCAGCGGGCCAGCGGCCACTCGCCGAGCCCGCACTGCGTGGTGGCCCCGTCAGACGCGGCGGCGTGACGCGGAACCGCACAGGGGAGCCGACCGGGCCGTGACGGTGCAGCCTGGCCGTGGGCAGAACGGTGGCCCCCGAGCGGACCAGCACCCTAGCACCGGAGCCCGTGACTGTGCTGCCTCGTGCGGCAAGAGGGACGTGGCAGATGTAATTACGTTAAGGATCGTGAGGTGGAGAGATGATCTCAGTGGCCCCGAGTCACCCCGGGCCCTTGCAGCGAGCACAGCATGCGGGGGGGAGACGGGCGCACGCGCGGCGGCAGCACGCGGAGGCCGAGGGAGGCGGGGGAGGCGAGGCCGTCCGCGGCTGCTCCAGAGGAAACGTGTGTTTAGATGTGAACAAACGCGTAGAATCTACACGCTGGAAACCACCGAACGCCGACAGGAAAAGCGGAGGACGTGGCGAGGGGGAGGTCCCCGTGCTCACGGCTGGGAGGCTCCACGCACGTGTCTGGGGCGTAGCGAGGGCCGGAGTGGAGGGCAGCGTGGGCGAGAAGAGGTCACAGACCCCGGCTGAGGACGGGTCCTCGGGAGCCTCCGTGTGCCCGGAAGGGCCGGCTCCGTGGCTCTCGCTTCGGGAAACCGAGTCACTGCGTGCCCACTCGAGAGGCCACCCGGGAACCTAGGAGGCCGCCCTGCAGACGTCCACGTGCCCACGGTCACCTGGCGTCTTTTGCAGACGTGGGGTCTGATGCAGCTACAGTCTGCGTTTCCTGCTAGCGTCGCGAGGCCGCGGGGGCTGGTCGGTGCCTCCAGAGAGGAGGTGACGGCTGGAGGGGAGCCGCCACTGCCTGTCAGCCTGCAGCGGGGGAGGTTCGGGGGGTGAGTCGCCCACCCTGACAGCGCGGAGCTGCCCCTGGGGGAGAACCAGGGACTAGGGCTCTCGGACGCCCGTTAGAAGTCCCAGGTGGGGAGGCCACTGGGGGAGGCACTGGAGGGCACACACGGCTCCTTCTCAGGTCACCCCATGGACCTCTGGGTCCCTTGGGGAGTCTCCACGCTGGAACCGGCCCCCTGAGGAGGCAGCTTCTGAGCGACGTGGAAATACGACAGGTGTCATTGTCAGGGTTAGCGTGGCACAGCAGCAGTCCACACATTTCTCCCTCGGCTCCTTGCTGGAGTCCAATAAAACTCACACGTGTTTCCTTTTTTAATTAAAAAACTTCCTAAACCTCCCCGACGCATGCCCTGAAGACACTTGCCGAGGTACAGCCAGGTGGCGGGGAGCCCAGGAGACCGGGCGCCGCACGCTTTGCCCACCTGGCCCTCCCGCCAGCCGCCCCCGTGGCCTGTGCCCCAGGTCGGGACACCTCTCCTCGGTGCAGGTGGGCAGGCAGTGGCCGCAGCGGCCACCTCCGAGAGGCCTCGCCCGGGTGTGGCCAGCCTCCTCCCGCACACTCGGCGGGCACA